AACCCATATCCTTAATTATTTGTGAACAGTAATCTAATCTCTACCCCTGCTAACTCCTGTTTCTGCCTCTAATCTATCTCTGATTCGACCTTCATGTCTGAGAAGGTGTCCTACCAGCCTATTTTGCGTATTTCTTATTGACTTTGATAGAGTTCTTTGTTCTCCTATTCATCCTAATACCTCTTCATTTCTAACCTTCTCTATCCACAGATTTCGAACGCTTCTAACCTTTCCTTGTTCCGCACCCGTACAGCGCCTCGCTCCAAACATACACCTTTACCAGTATTCTTCGAATTTCTAAATTAACCATTCGCGAGCATAGATGTGACTTCTTTTTATTGAAGACGACTCGACCATGCGCTATCCTCTGCTTTATATACCTACTACTCCTTCCGTCCTGACTTATCTGCCTTCCTAGATACCTAAAATCGACAACTTCTAATTTTTCATTTCCTATCCTTATATTAGCTCTTTTCCTACTTTTTCTTCCTTTGCACACCAGTATTTTTGTTTTACTTTTATTTATTTTCAGATAAATATACAATATACAAAGGAATTATTGCTAGGGTATATAATTTATGGACTAATATTCATACTATTAATTGTAATGTTAGTATAATTAGTAGTCTACTTATAACGGTATATTATCATTATTAGTATCTTGCTTGTCTAATTGAATAAACGACGATGAGATATTTCAGTTGGCAGCAGATTGTACCTATGTGTAGGTAGCGCTGAATGATCGCGTGGTAGTACTCGATCTGGCCGCCATCTGTCGTATCGGTCGATAGTTGTAGGGGAGTAAAAACCCCGCCTGTTGAACGTCACAATTTTTACGAACTCTACCAATATTCCATATATTTGAAGTACATGTAATTGAATTTTGGGCTTATTTATAAAGTCGTAAGTCCTTTTCTCTTTCTATTACCATTTATGAAGTTGAGAATTAATACTTGGTATAAAAATTTCACCGTGTTTTTCGCATTTATTAATTGCCAGAACTATGTCAGTGTGTATGTATGTATGGTTTAGTTATTAAAATAAATTATGACTCTCCTGGAAACAACGAATACTAAGTGTGAATAACTGGGTCATATTTGAGTTGTTGCCTCAAGGAAGTTTGCTCAGTTAAAAATTGCTGGTTTCCTCATAGACGGTTAATTACAGATTAAAGTTTACTTCATTAAGGTATTTTTTGTGAGAACCAATTACAATTAAAAGAGACTAGGGATTCTCGATACCTCGATGGGCAATACTCGCCTTCAAGAACTCGAGCTTTTACGAAAACAATGAACTCTATATAGGTAATTAACGACTCTGCAGTTTTCAATCGCTTCTATCGTTAAGTACCAATTAATCTTTGTTGAGAAAAACTTTAGGTATTGGCGTTGTTTATCTATAGAAAGTCAATACAATTCGTTTAAGTTGGTCCGTTTTTTTGTTTTATTAGAAAACTTTACTGTCAGCAAGACAACGCTGTAGTAATTTACAGGAGGTCCTGTGGGACAGTTTCGCCTTTATAGCGCGACCTTCTCAGAGGTTTGGTGCAAAGAAAAAGATCAAGAGACTTTAAATGTATTTGTGCTTTGAAAATAATGATAAAGCGCCGTTTTATTTTTTTTACAGTATCTTTTAACGGGATTAAGGATATTTTTATTTACTACAAGGATATTATCGAAATTTTTTTTAATTTAGCAATATTTGACGGCTTATAATCCCTCTTCCCAGTATTTAAATTTTAGTAAGTGTATCACTCGACTGACTAAAATGTTACGTAGATAAGTTGAACATATTGACAATGGTTCAGTGGTTAATAACGAAAAAGTCATACTTTTACTGTTTTTGCTAGATAACTTCCTTTTTAAAAGTCCTTTTTTAAAGTGAAACTTTTATTACATCGCCTCAAATTTTCGTTCATCTATCGCATGTCGTGGAGTGGGGGTAAAACTGAAAGGCGCTCAACAGAGGAACCAAGGCCAATATGGCGACGCTAACCATGTAGCATTTATATTCTCACCCGTTCGTGCAAGTGCACGACAATTTCATTTGCAGATTGTGAAACTCAAAGAGAAGATTAAATTGTTGACAGAATAACTGAAGCTTAAAATGATTTACTGATTCAAATAAATATTGTTGCCAGTTTTTAACATGCGTCTATCATCTGAACGATTGTATTTTTATGTATTCCGTACTCTCATATGCAGATTGAAATTAAAATTTTAGTTGGATATCTTGTTCTACTCTTGATTTGCCATTATCATTCCCATTCTTGAATCATTAAGATGAAATTAATAAAGCGATTTTAATTCTAATACCCTAAATCGAATAATTTTCGGGAAATTTACAGTTGTATTCGTAAAATCCGAAAAGTAACACTTGCATCGTGGTTTCATAAAATCACACAATTTTTTTCGTTATTTGCAGTTCATTCGGACACCGTTGCCGGAAGATAAATTTTCTTTTTATTCAAATTATACTGTGTTCATAGATAAGTTACTCAAACTTTAATGATTTTATAATTTTATTTACATTTATGTCTGGGAGATAATTATTGTTCAAATTATTTGATATCAACTTTGGTCGATTCATATAATTTCCAGATTAATTAGACGCAGCGTAAATTTCTTGTATTCGGTGAATTTGATAGCGATCAAATTGTTCAAAAGATGCGGATGCAGAAGCGCTGTATAATCCTGATACGATCGTCGTATCGAAGCAAAGCTAATCAGTTGTAAATTGCAATACCGCAATTCCGCAATCGATTATTCGTAATCAAAATCAGAACTTACACCGACATAGAGAGGTGCTTCGAGAGATAGACATTTACGGACTACGTTAGTATTCCGCTAGTAATTAGAAGGATTGTTTTGTTCTAATTTATTGTAGTGTCTGCATTACTACCGTCTACATTACAATATAACACAGGTACCCACGTTCATTATGATAGACGGGAGCATCCCCTCTCCACTTCCGGGTTCACCGGAAGTAATATCATCTTTGGGCTTTCAAATCCATCACAAAAGCATAGATTTAAAAAAATATATGAGCGTAAATGGGGACCCAGATTGTATGGTGGTGGAAAATGTGGGGCGTGAGTCAATCATCCCCGTTCAGGGCCCAAATAGGTCACAACTTCTAACCCGATTGAATGGAGGTAGGGCGTGAGAGGTAAGAGGGACATGTACTAGACTAAATGTTCATCACTGCACTGAGCGGCATGGCCTAGAGGTTTAGACCATCGATTTGCATTCGGGAGGACACCGGTTCGATTCCGGGTCCATCTGCCTTGGTCCAAGTTTGTGGTGTCCTTGGATCACTTAAGCATATACTGGGGCAGTAATATTCCACAGATAATCTTTCATTCTCTTCTGTCTTCATTTCGTCCGTCTCATCTTTCTCACCCGAACCACCATCCACCCATACCCACGATTCCTGAAAGCAGACAGAAGAGGGCCTTCTGCCCTACCTTCCATCATTATTGGCTGGTGGGAAAGATACACCCAAAAATTAAAATGAACTGGATTCAATCATTTCCGTCCTGGGCCCCAAAATGAATCGCTATCTTTTGTATTGGGAAATGCCACATTAAAGTTGCGTTAATTGAAACAATTTCCTAGTTTTCTAAGTCTACAGTTTCCTTACTGCTTTTTTTTTCGATTATGTCGGCAGGCCATTTGGGAAATAACTTTAGTTATAACTTTTATATTATGAGACATAAAACCTGAAACTGAACGACCTAAAATCCCATTCTCATCAACTTTAGAAATTTACGACGAGGTAGAAATGGAATGAATATGGAGAAAAGGGTTTTTCACGGTCTCACGAAATGTAATATTTGGAGAAGAAGATTTGGAGATTACTTTAATAATAATTGTGACCATATCTTAGGAAAAAGAAAATAAATGAAATCTATCAATTTTTCATTTTAATTAAATCGGAAATAGGTAAGAAGATTAAATTAGTGTATCATTAGAAAAGAAGCACATACACATAGTAGCAGATAACGTTTCTATTAAAGAAGGCGGGCTGCTCTCAATTGATGAAAATTGCTAATGACTCCAAAGACTTAAAACTTAAAAAAAACGTTTGGGTGTTTCATTCCCACCAGCCGCTAATGTTGGTGGGCAGCCAGTTCCTCCGGTCTATGCCAGGAGGTAGGGCGGAAGGCCCTCTTCAGCCTCCGTTAAGGAATCGTGGGAATGGATGGATGGGTGGTAGTTCGGGTGAGGAAGATGAGACGGACGAAATGAAGACAGAAGAGAATGAAAGATTATCTGTGGAATATTACTGCCCCAGCATTTGCCTAAGTGATCCAAGGAAACCACAGAAAAACTTGGACCAAGGCAGACGGACCCGGAATCGAACCGGCGTCCTCCCGAATGCTAAGCAATGGTCTAAACCTTTAGGCCATCCTGCTCGGTCTAAGGACTTCTGAAATGTAACTTTATATAGAAACCTGGATTAAGTAAATAAATGTGAGCAAGTGTCATACGATAGGGAGGTCGTTTATAGTAAATGGTCGCCGGGATGTCGGACGATAGTAAAGTAAGCAGGTGATTTCCCAGAGAAAATCAGGCAGCTATTGATTATTTTATTTAAACATCTTATCGGTCAAATATTGAATGGATTCGACGGCTACTTTGTGATATTTCATTGTTACATTTTATAAATCACATTTACTTTGGTTTAATATAGACAAAATAGATTGCGACAATGGATTCAAATGAACAACATAAACAAATAAATCTTATCTACCTTGCTGTACTTAGTATAAAAATAATTCCTAATGACTACATTTTGGCAGTTACAGAGTATTGCACATCAACTGAAAGGTATGAATATTGAATCTTCATATTTAACATTTAATTCATTTAAAATAATTAGTGGATGTCTTAATTAAACCGACAAAACACCGTACATTCTTTAAATAGTATACCTGTTTCAGAAATATAATGATTTTATTGGCATTTCTGGGCATCATACTCTTGACAGCTTCGAGCATGTCGAATCCGCTCAGTCGCGACACCAAAGTTTCTTGTATCCTTGAAGGATCATCAATTAGTGAATTAAGTTCTATCAAACAGTCTTGTACAAGTATCACCATTCAGGACTTGACCGTTCCCGCCGGTCAAACATTAGATTTAACTGGATTGAAATCTGGAACCACTGTTACGTTCAACGGAACGATCCATTTCGATATAGAGAATTGGCATGGCCATCTGGTCGATGTAAGTGGAGACCACATTGCAGCAAGAGGATTACCTGGTAATAGAATTGACGGTGGTGGCCCCTCATACTGGGATAGCGAAGGCGGAAATAGTTTAAAAGCTAAACCTAAACTTTTCAACGTAGAAAAACTCAGTAACTCAGTTATTGAAAATCTCAACATTTACGACTCCCCATTGCATGCTTTCTCAATTGATGGATGTCAAAATCTAACAGTAGAAAACGTCCTCATTGACGACTCTAAAGGTGATTCTGTTGGATTCGATGTTGGTGATTCTTCCCAAATTACACTTAGGAGAAATATAATTTACAATCAAGGTGACTGTGTCGCCATCAATTCTGGAAGTAACATCCGTTTTGAAAACAACTACTGTGCCGGTGGACATGGTGTTTCAGTTGGATCCCTCGGTGGTCGTAGCAACAACATCATATCAGATGTTGTCGTTAAGAACTGCGAAGTTGCCAACTCTGACAATGGTATCAGAATTCAAACGGAATATGGAAAGACAGGATCTGTCAGTGACATTACCTTCGAAGATATTACACTCACCAACATCAAAAATTGTGGTATTACTATTCGTGATGAATATATCAACAATGGAACCAATGGAGTTGCTACTGACGGTGTTCCAATCAAGAAGTTGACCGTTAAAAATGTCCATGGTACGATAAAATCTGGAGGGATTAAGGTTATGATTTTAGTTAGAGGAGCATCACAGTGGGATTGGTCTGATGTGATTCTTGATGGTGGACAATCAGCAAGCGATTGTTACGGAATACCAAGTGGATCCGGAGCGATGTGTTAAATAATTCTGTGATAGATATAGCATTTTCGAAAGAAGAAAATTAATAAAACGTATCAATTTTTTTTCAATCAATTATTGCTGATCGAATTTAAACTGGGTATTAGGTAGATCAGATGAATGAAAGGAAGTGAATCTTTAAGAATAGTATAAGTTCCTGGTCTCTGTCCAGCTGAATAGTGATTTTGATCCTAATTAATCTCATCAGCACGTCATAGTTTGTTTTGGTAATTCACCGAGGAAACTCCTTCGATGCAAAAGTAAGTTGATATATTTTTAGTTAGTAGCAGAAGAAGGCGGCATACTCTTAATTGGTTAAAATTATTAGTGACTCCAAAGGCTTATGACTTGCTACTTTACGTAGAAACCTAGATTAGGTAATACAAAGATATATGAAAACTGGGATTGTTTCTCGCTAGTTAAAAGACAGAATTGGAGCATAAAAGCAAATAAAGAACAATTGTTACACATATAAATTTGTAAGGGTAGAATAAAGATAGTTTAGACCCTATCACTCCTTTTTATTTGAGTAGTTTTTCTTATAATTTCTTAAATACTTACTCAAAACAACCCTTTTAATGATTCAAACAAATGTATCTACCAAAATTCATGATTCACAAGAAGCAGCAGTTAGATGCAGTATTGGATATGAACGTGACTTAGTTTGTAACAATCTCTTAGGAGACTTGGATAGAAACGGTGTTTGGTGAGTTGTAGGTGGATATCTTCTACAAAGAACGACGGAAGCTAATAGCACATTTAATTAATAAACAGGGCAAAAAAGAAGGTTAATGTTGTGTTCAACTTCATTCTAAGTTACACAGTTGGTATAGAAGCCCTATTACGCTTTACTCATCAACTGACCTGTAGGCATCAAGCGTGACTTAAAAAGCAATTCGGAAAATAGCGCTAAAGCCGTTTAAAACAATATTACACTATTCAGTCTTCACATCTAACCATGGATGTGAGTGAATTTTGTAGAGAACACAAGATTGTGTTGATGCGATGCAAGTCGTTTGTTACAGCCTCGACAGGTAACCGTGTTTATCGCCACAAATCAACCTGAACGAATGCGTCAATGATTGGCAAACTCAGCATTGTCATGAAAACTGAAGAAAAAGATGGATCAGTTCTACAAAAAGTGACGGTTAACTGTTACGCCACAAGTATGCTAGCATTTGGATTTCCTCCTGTAGCGGCTATAATAAACGTGTTGCATTGGGATCCTAATGACACTGGCTCCAGCAAAACTCTTCCCCACACTGCTGATACAGAGGAAATTCAGGAAGACTAAAATGATGGAGCACATCCAATTTTTGGAAACCTTTGCAAAGCTGATTTGATGACTAGTTTCATGATGATCGCCGGATAGGACGTATTGGTTAGGGTAGGATTTGTTATCATCTAATCCAAAAACTGTCACTCCAGTCATAGGAAATAGACGAAATGATACCTTGATATCATGCTGAAACTACATGCAGTGCATCTCGAAGTAAAAATGACACAGAGATAAAACGTTAAGGGTTACAATGTGTAGCTAATTTGCTGTGCTTTTCTCCATTTTGTAGCTAGTAACTTGTAACTGTCCAGTGAAAAATTGTAAGACCGTATTTCTAACTTGAAAAGACGAAGAGTTCGGGCTTGACGGTTTGCTCACAAAATAATTGAGATCTGAACAACTGCCAAGTTCCATATGTTCATTGTGTTGAATTCACATCTTGGCAAATTTTGTATTTATTCCGTTAACCCCTAAAATATGTAGTGTTAAAGCTGACCAAGCTGTAAATTCAATATCAATTATATTATTCTTTGTATGGAACATGGCGTCATAATTAATATAACACAAGCCTCGAACCACCGATATATACCTAAAGATCTACCTTCATGGTAAGTTTCATGCTTCCAAATCATCTAGAAGTGGTCAAAAGTTTTAATGGGTGAATGAGTGATAAAAGTAGTACTCTTCAGACCCAAGTACCTCCAGAATTTCTGCAGGCTTACTTATCAAATTTGAAATTTTAGGTAATTAAAAGGCTTTATTGAATGCTCAACAATTGATGTAATAACCCTTGAAGTATCGGAGAAAGCTCTAAATATGCACACTGTAGGTGTATATTCATTAGTATTGCAAAAGGCCTCTGTTTCTGCTTCCACAATTACGGAACTTCCGCATACTTATTTCGATAACGGAATCTCATCTTTCTTAAAATTAACATATCGGAACAATAGAACAAGTGGTAATTAACTACTTTTATGTGTTGGCTGAACTTGAGTGCAGTTTTGAAGCAAAAAAAAGTTATTATATTTCCGCTATCGCATGAGATTCCGTTTCCACTTCCGCAAAACTTTACCATTTACTTCTGCATCCATTTCTGTTTCCGATGCATTACTAGTATCCACGCATAAGAGTCAAGGGGTCAAAGGACCCACCTTCCTACTTAAGACCGTGTCCCATTCCCCGTGTAACAAACCCTTATCACATTGTTGCGTGTCTAGATCAGAAAGCAAATACGCCGTAAGTCGATATTAATTAATTTTAAAGCACAAGACGTAGGATAAACACTTAGTTTAATTTTCAATTAAACGTGTCCTAAACTAATATTGATTATTTTCTTTAAACATCTTATCTATCAATCATAAATTGATTTCACGACCACTTTATGATATTCTATTGTTAGGATTAAACAATTAACACTTTACTTTGGTTTAATATACACGAAATAGATTGGAACAATGGATTCAAATGATAACATAAACAAATAAATCTTATCTACATTGCTATACTTACAATTAGTATAAAAATAATCCCTAATGGCTACATTTAGGCAGTTGCCCATCACCTGAACGTAAAAATATTGTTTCTGTGTATTTGACATTTAATTCCTTTAAAAAAGTTTCTAATTTTATTAAAACTGACAAAATCAAGAATTCCAATTCAATTTTTTTAATCTTAAAATCCGGCACATTCTTTAAATAATACATCAATTTCAGAAATATATAATGAATTCATTGACATTTCTGGGCATCATACTCTTGGCAGCTTCGAGCATGTCAAATCCGCTCAGTAGCGACACCAAACTTTCTTGTATCCTTGAAGGATCATCAATTAGTGAATTAAGTTCTATCAAACAGTCTTGTACAAATATCACCATTCAGGACTTGACCGTTCCCGCCGGTCAAACATTAGATTTAAGTGGATTGAAATCTGGAACAACTGTTACATTCGACGGAGTAATCGATTTCGGAACAGATGATTGGCAGTATGGTCTTATAATACTTGTTGGTGGGAACCTCATTACAGTAAATGGAGCACCTGGAAATAGAATTGACGGTGGGGGCTCCTCATACAATGGCGGGAATGGTGAAAAGACCAAACCTAAACTTTTCAACGTAGAAAACTTCAATAACTCGGTCATTAAAAACCTTAACATTTACGACTTCCCAGTGCATGCCATTTCAATCGATAGATGCCATAATCTTACAGTAGAGAACGTCCTCATGAATAATTCCAAAGTTGATTTTGATGATGGTTACAACACTTCTGGATTCGATGTTGATGAATCTACCCAAATTACACTTAGAAGAAGTGTAATTTACAATCAAGGTGACTGTGTCGCCATCAATTCTGGAAGTAACATCCGTTTTGAAAACAACTACTGTGCCGGTGGACATGGTGTTTCAGTTGGATCCCTCGGTGGTCGTAGCAATAACATCATATCAGATGTTGTCGTTAAGAACTGCGAAGTTGCCAACTCTGACAATGGTATCAGAATTCAAACGGAATATGGAAAGACAGGATCTGTCAGTGACATTACCTTCGAAGATATTACACTCACCAACATCAAAAATTGTGGTATTACTATTCGTGATGAATATATCAACAATGGAACCAATGGAGTTGCTACTGACGGTGTTCCAATCAAGAAGTTGACCGTTAAAAATGTCCATGGTACGATAAAATCTGGAGGGATTAAGGTTATGATTTTAGTTAGAGGAGCATCACAGTGGGATTGGTCTGATGTGATTCTTGATGGTGGACAATCAGCAAGCGATTGTTACGGAATACCAAGTGGATCCGGAGCGATGTGTTAAATAATTCTGTGATAGATATAGCATTTTCGAAAGAAGAAAATTAATAAAACGTATCAATTTTTTTTCAATCAATTATTGCTGATCGAATTTAAACTGGGTATTAGGTAGATCAGATGAATGAAAGGAAGTGAATCTTTAAGAATAGTATAAGTTCCTGGTCTCTGTCCAGCTGAATAGTGATTTTGATCCTAATTAATCTCATCAGCACGTCATAGTTTGTTTTGGTAATTCACCGAGGAAACTCCTTCGATGCAAAAGTAAGTTGATATATTTTTAGTTAGTAGCAGAAGAAGGCGGCATACTCTTAATTGGTTAAAATTATTAGTGACTCCAAAGGCTTATGACTTGCTACTTTACGTAGAAACCTAGATTAGGTAATACAAAGATATATGAAAACTGGGATTGTTTCTCGCTAGTTAAAAGACAGAATTGGAGCATAAAAGCAAATAAAGAACAATTGTTACACATATAAATTTGTAAGGGTAGAATAAAGATAGTTTAGACCCTATCACTCCTTTTTATTTGAGTAGTTTTTCTTATAATTTCTTAAATACTTACTCAAAACAACCCTTTTAATGATTCAAACAAATGTATCTACCAAAATTCATGATTCACAAGAAGCAGCAGTTAGATGCAGTATTGGATATGAACGTGACTTAGTTTGTAACAATCTCTTAGGAGACTTGGATAGAAACGGTGTTTGGTGAGTTGTAGGTGGATATCTTCTACAAAGAACGACGGAAGCTAATAGCACATTTAATTAATGGGCAAAAAAGAAGGTTAATGTTGTGTTCAACTTCATTCTAAGTTACACAGTTGGTATAGAAGCCCTATTACGCTTTACTCATCAACTGACCTGTAGGCATCAAGCGTGACTTAAAAAGCAATTCGGAAAATAGCGCTAAAGCCGTTTAAAACAATATTACACTATTCAGTCTTCACATCTAACCATGGATGTGAGTGAATTTTGTAGAGAACACAAGATTGTGTTGATGCGATGCAAGTCGTTTGTTACAGCCTCGACAGGTAACCGTGTTTATCGCCACAAATCAACCTGAACGAATGCGTCAATGATTGGCAAACTCAGCATTGTCATGAAAACTGAAGAAAAAGATGGATCAGTTCTACAAAAAGTGACGGTTAACTGTTACGCCACAAGTATGCTAGCATTTGGATTTCCTCCTGTAGCGGCTATAATAAACGTGTTGCATTGGGATCCTAATGACACTGGCTCCAGCAAAACTCTTCCCCACACTGCTGATACAGAGGAAATTCAGGAAGACTAAAATGATGGAGCACATCCAATTTTTGGAAACCTTTGCAAAGCTGATTTGATGACTAGTTTCATGATGATCGCCGGATAGGACGTATTGGTTAGGGTAGGATTTGTTATCATCTAATCCAAAAACTGTCACTCCAGTCATAGGAAATAGACGAAATGATACCTTGATATCATGCTGAAACTACATGCAGTGCATCTCGAAGTAAAAATGACACAGAGATAAAACGTTAAGGGTTACAATGTGTAGCTAATTTGCTGTGCTTTTCTCCATTTTGTAGCTAGTAACTTGTAACTGTCCAGTGAAAAATTGTAAGACCGTATTTCTAACTTGAAAAGACGAAGAGTTCGGGCTTGACGGTTTGCTCACAAAATAATTGAGATCTGAACAACTGCCAAGTTCCATATGTTCATTGTGTTGAATTCACATCTTGGCAAATTTTGTATTTATTCCGTTAACCCCTAAAATATGTAGTGTTAAAGCTGACCAAGCTGTAAATTCAATATCAATTATATTATTCTTTGTATGGAACATGGCGTCATAATTAATATAACACAAGCCTCGAACCACCGATATATACCTAAAGATCTACCTTCATGGTAAGTTTCATGCTTCCAAATCATCTAGAAGTGGTCAAAAGTTTTAATGGGTGAATGAGTGATAAAAGTAGTACTCTTCAGACCCAAGTAGGTACCTCCAGAATTTCTGCAGGCTTACTTATCAAATTTGAAATTTTAGGTAATTAAAAGGCTTTATTGAATGCTCAACAATTGATGTAATAACCCTTGAAGTATCGGAGAAAGCTCTAAATATGCACACTGTAGGTGTATATTCATTAGTATTGCAAAAGGCCTCTGTTTCTGCTTCCACAATTACGGAACTTCCGCATACTTATTTCGATAACGGAATCTCATCTTTCTTAAAATTAACATATCGGAACAATAGAACAAGTGGTAATTAACTACTTTTATGTGTTGGCTGAACTTGAGTGCAGTTTTGAAGCAAAAAAAAGTTATTATATTTCCGCTATCGCATGAGATTCCGTTTCCACTTCCGCAAAACTTTACCATTTACTTCTGCATCCATTTCTGTTTCCGATGCATTACTAGTATCCACGCATAAGAGTCAAGGGGTCAAAGGACCCACCTTCCTACTTAAGACCGTGTCCCATTCCCCGTGTAACAAACCCTTATCACATTGTTGCGTGTCTAGATCAGAAAGCAAATACGCCGTAAGTCGATATTAATTAATTTTAAAGCACAAGACGTAGGATAAACACTTAGTTTAATTTTCAATTAAACGTGTCCTAAACTAATATTGATTATTTTCTTTAAACATCTTATCTATCAATCATAAATTGATTTCACGACCACTTTATGATATTCTATTGTTAGGATTAAACAATTAACACTTTACTTTGGTTTAATATACACGAAATAGATTGGAACAATGGATTCAAATGATAACATAAACAAATAAATCTTATCTACATTGCTATACTTACAATTAGTATAAAAATAATCCCTAATGGCTACATTTAGGCAGTTGCCCATCACCTGAACGTAAAAATATTGTTTCTGTGTATTTGACATTTAATTCCTTTAAAAAAGTTTCTAATTTTATTAAAACTGACAAAATCAAGAATTCCAATTCAATTTTTTTAATCTTAAAATCCGGCACATTCTTTAAATAATACATCAATTTCAGAAATATATAATGAATTCATTGACATTTCTGGGCATCATACTCTTGGCAGCTTCGAGCATGTCAAATCCGCTCAGTAGCGACACCAAACTTTCTTGTATCCTTGAAGGATCATCAATTAGTGAATTAAGTTCTATCAAACAGTCTTGTACAAATATCACCATTCAGGACTTGACCGTTCCCGCCGGTCAAACATTAGATTTAAGTGGATTGAAATCTGGAACAACTGTTACATTCGACGGAGTAATCGATTTCGGAACAGATGATTGGCAGTATGGTCTTATAATACTTGTTGGTGGGAACCTCATTACAGTAAATGGAGCACCTGGAAATAGAATTGACGGTGGGGGCTCCTCATACAATGGCGGGAATGGTGAAAAGACCAAACCTAAACTTTTCAACGTAGAAAACTTCAATAACTCGGTCATTAAAAACCTTAACATTTACGACTTCCCAGTGCATGCCATTTCAATCGATAGATGCCATAATCTTACAGTAGAGAACGTCCTCATGAATAATTCCAAAGTTGATTTTGATGATGGTTACAACACTTCTGGATTCGATGTTGATGAATCTACCCAAATTACACTTAGAAGAAGTGTAATTTACAATCAAGGTGACTGTGTCGCCATCAATTCTGGAAGTAACATCCGTTTTGAAAACAACTACTGTGCCGGTGGACATGGTGTTTCAGTTGGATACCTCGGTGGTCGTAGCAACAACGTCATATCAGATGTTGTTGTTAGTAACTGCGAAGTTGTCAACTCTGACAGTGGTATCAGAATTCAAACGGAATATGGACAGACAGGATCTCTCAGTGATATTATATTCGAAGGCATTACACTCACCAACATTAGCAAATGTGGTATTACCATTCGTGGTGATTACACCAACAATGGAACCAATGGAATTGCTACTGACGGTGTTCCAATCAAGAAGCTGACCGTTAAGAATGTCCATGGTACGATAAAATCTGGAGGGATCAAGGTTATGGTTTTAGTTCAAGGAGCATCACAGTGGGATTGGTCTGATGTAATTCTTGATGGTGGGCAATCGGCAGGTAGTTGTTCTGGGGTACCACCTGGTTCTGCATCAATATGTTGAGTATTTATATGATAAATGCCTAGGTGAAAGAGCTAATTATGACCATTGTTGTACTAATTATTTAGAGTTAATAAAGTTTGATTTATTTATCAATGAATGCGTTTCGCCATGTGCTGAAAATAAGTGCATAAGAAATCATGTAATTTGGTGTTTCTCGATTTATAACAGTACTGCAGTGGTGCTTGGAGAATACAAATTAGTCAAAGAAGCAGGCAATTGACCCGTTTCAAATATTAGTGATTTGTAAAATTTGTTAATGGTGCCCATATCATTCCTCTGACCTTGACTCTGATTGGTTTGGATACCTTTTCAGATTATAACGGTCTGTCTTCCATGCCTAAAGTTCATAAAGAGTAAGAATCTGGGCTGATTCAGCCCGCTACCTTCTCGAAAAGAAAATAATAATATGGAAAGCAACAAGTACATTTATATATTCAATCCCCTAACAGTCAACAGAAATGGGCAATAAAAGACAATGTCACATTTTGGCAGTCAGTACTTTTGTACTTGTCTGACTTTTCTAAAGATACAAGTCTGACGTCTTTGTTATGTCCCAGAAGTCTTGTTGTCTGTCAAAGTCCGCACCAGCAGAACTCCAAGACCTATGCCCAAATCTCTTAAAGTCTCAACGACTTCGATTTAAGAGTTATTTAGAAAACAATTACAACTTAGACCCTTAAGTACGATGAAAGTTCTTCAACGACATTAAAAGAGCTTGAAACCCTTTGGATTACGTATGAATCACATTGCTCCTTATCTTACAGCTTTGGAAAGACTGGAAGTACATCTTCACTTTGTGCCAAAGCACTAATCATTATCTGTTTTATTGTTGAAGAAGCTGCTAAGGTGTATCTATATAAAAATAACCGTCAGCAGGGAAGATCATCATCATCATAAGGTCGTCAGTCCTAA